CTTTCTTTTTATGTTAATGTATATTTGAAGCTGGCGTCTCATTTCGTGGAAATTCATTAATTATTGAGAATTCTGGCTTTATTTTTAATAATTTTAGAGTTCTTAGTAGATTAAATCAATAGTTCTCTGGCCATTAAGCTAAAAAAAATGGTTCAGGACAAATTGAGACGCTAAGTTGCGTCTCACTTTGTCCTTCTCGATCATTTTTTTGCCAGATTTTAAGCGCTTACGAGTTCTATAATAGTTCTACACAAATAATTCGATGTACGTAAAAATTATTAGAATATTAATTAGATTATTTTTTTCGGCTACTTTCGAATTATAGAAAGCATTAACAACGTTTCCATTGTGCGTTTCTAATGCTAGAGTTTTAGCTTTCATCTATACTTCATCGCTTCATTCTTGCCAAAATAACGAACTTTCTTCGTAATCAAAATCATTTAATATGGAATATGAAATATCAATGATATTTCATTCGTGTGAGTGTAAGTGCGCAGTAAAAAGAGATAACCCATTGATGTGTTGCTAGGACGCAAGAATTCATCGTTATGTACCGCTCGTACGTAATCATTTGTCACGCATTATCTCGCATGTTGTCATATGTAGAGCGCTCCTCTCAAAACTTCCTCGTGCGTCTAGCGACCGCAAACTTTTGGGATGTCTTTGGGCCGTTCTTTCTCGCCGCGCGCTTATAGTCACGCGAATTGGTCGATGTTTTTTAATTAATTTCTCAATAATTATTACGAAAATCGCAAAATGGTAAAGGACTTTTCTGTTCAGTTTACTGTGCTCTACCCGCTCACGGGTAGAGCGTTGGCACAATCTTTACCAGACACCCTGTATCATAGCTGCATTGCAGATAATACTTTAGGTTAGCGCAATCTGGAAATGCGCGAGCTAAAGCGACTAATATTCCTCGAATATGATCAGTTATTGCTACAGAATTTTTGCTACGATTAATTAGTTAGTATATCGCCATTTGTTCTTTAAACTAATACAGGTAGAAAAGGTAGAAAAGATCTATCTATTGCATGTATCAAAGCAGATACTTTCATGTATTTAAAAATTTGTAGGAATGTTGTCACACACACAAGATTATTATTGACACCTAAACAACTATCTAATCCGCCTTGTTTAGCCTTGCGTAAAACTCATGACCGATATAAAATTGTGAGATTTTTATTGTCAAATTCTATGATTCTGTTTGCTTCCCCAATGCACCAAATAGTCGCTTTTTTTTGCGTCCCTTAAATAACTAGCAATCTTTCGACGAAGAGAACCGTTTAATTGTCTTTTTTTGATGTGGACAATTTAATTATCAAAAACAAATAAATTGTAATCAAATATTGCAGAAAACCGGATGTTCATTTGTTCTTGATCGGTTGTGACTATTAAGCGTAGCAACAGTTTATGCGAAATTGCATCAGCCGCAATCTTTCATTCATAATATACGTTCGCGGTTCTCCCGTTATCGCCAAGATTGTGGAAATTTTTCCATGTATGTTCGCGTTCGGTGTCTTTCCATTTGGTGCGGATATTCGGCTCTTTTATGGTGTGATAAATTATCGCCGGTTAGCCGCCATCTTAGACATGTGCTAAAAGTGTGCGGTAAATGCACATACGTGCGAAAACGTCATATTGACTTCTTCTTTGTGCGCGATAAACGCACACTATATATATTGACTTCTTCCTTGTGCGCGGTAAACATACGTCATATTGACTCTTGGTACACAGTATATCGTTATATATTGACTTCTTGTGGGAACAATGTCGATTTCCGGAACGTAAATCGAGTTAGTTCGTGAATAACTCGACCAAATGTCCTTTCCTTGTCTTCAAGACGAAGATAGAAAATATGGAATCAAGCTAACCGCTAAGAATCGTGGTCGATGGATTGATCATCGATCGTCGACCATCATTGATCATTTAATAAGGATGGTCTATTGGGCCAGTCACAAGAGACTGTAGGTAAAGCAAATTCACCAGGCTCGTCAGCTGCAGGTAACACTACGCATACTGACATGGCACCAGAAATTTTTCTACACTTATTGTGAAGTAACAATTAACAAAACAAAGAGAATCGATAATAAAAAAATGCTATTGAAACAAAAAACAATCGTTATTTGATTGTTTTTAATTGTTACTTCACAATGAGTGCCCAGCATTCGACGCGTGCGGTTGTATAAAATATTATAAAGAAATGGCAGAGTATATTGCACAAGAATACACAGATATGATTATCATGTACGGAGTAGCCGGAGAAAATGCTCGTGTTGCGGCTCGCCTTTACGCGGAACGATTTCCTGAACGTGAGCGACATCCCTCGTTCAACGTAATTTTGCGATGTATCCATCCTGTCAGAGAAACAGGCTCTCTGCTATTGAATAGACGAAACGCTAATGCACCAATGCATTATCGCGCAGACGTAGAAGAAAGAATCTTACAAGTATTTGAAGAGAATCCTGGAACCAGTGTGCGCGGTGCAGCTCGGATGCTCAGTCTCTCGCAAAACACAGTGCATCGTACACTACGTCAGAACGGATTGCACCCGTACCATTGCCAGCGAGTGCAGCAACTTTTAGCGGGAGATCATGAACAGCGCATCTACTTTTGTGAAGGTATTTTTATTATCTTTATTTATTGTTGGTGTTATTTGTAGCAAATATTAACAGTCGGCGAAATACATACAGGGTTTCTCGCGTAATGTCGGCGGAATAATTTTTTCCCCGATCGCGTATTGTGGACGGATGAAGCGACTTTTACGCCGAACGGCGTATTTAACAGTCGCAACTTATTGTTATGGCAAGAAGAAAACCCGCACGCCATTCGTCAGGGCGCGTATCAATATCATCGATAAATGTATGGGCCGGAATAATAGCGGACCAAATCGTAAATAAATTTCTTCATTATTAATAAGTTAAAGAATTTTCTTTCGCAGCTTTAACAAATCACTCTTTTTTTGGTAATTTTTAGATCGGTCCTTATTTTCTCCCGCCACATTTGAATGGAGAAATTTACGCAGATTTTCTTCAGAATGAGCTTCCGATACTCCTTGCGGATATTCCTCTTCGAGTACGAGCGAAACTCATTTTCCAACACGGCGGGGCTCCTGCACATTTCTCGCGTCAAGCACTCTTTCTTTTTATGTTAATGTATATTTGAAGCTGGCGTCTCATTTCGTGGAAATTCATTAATTATTGAGAATTCTGGCTTTATTTTTAATAATTTTAGAGTTCTTAGTAGATTAAATCAATAGTTCTCTGGCCATTAAGCTAAAAAAAATGGTTCAGGACAAATTGAGACGCTAAGTTGCGTCTCACTTTGTCCTTCTCGATCATTTTTTTGCCAGATTTTAAGCGCTTACGAGTTCTATAATAGTTCTACACAAATAATTCGATGTACGTAAAAATTATTAGAATATTAATTAGATTATTTTTTTCGGCTACTTTCGAATTATAGAAAGCATTAACAACGTTTCCATTGTGCGTTTCTAATGCTAGAGTTTTAGCTTTCATCTATACTTCATCGCTTCATTCTTGCCAAAATAACGAACTTTCTTCGTAATCAAAATCATTTAATATGGAATATGAAATATCAATGATATTTCATTCGTGTGAGTGTAAGTGCGCAGTAAAAAGAGATAACCCATTGATGTGTTGCTAGGACGCAAGAATTCATCGTTATGTACCGCTCGTACGTAATCATTTGTCACGCATTATCTCGCATGTTGTCATATGTAGAGCGCTCCTCTCAAAACTTCCTCGTGCGTCTAGCGACCGCAAACTTTTGGGATGTCTTTGGGCCGTTCTTTCTCGCCGCGCGCTTATAGTCACGCGAATTGGTCGATGTTTTTTAATTAATTTCTCAATAATTATTACGAAAATCGCAAAATGGTAAAGGACTTTTCTGTTCAGTTTACTGTGCTCTACCCGCTCACGGGTAGAGCGTTGGCACAATCTTTACCAGACACCCTGTATCATAGCTGCATTGCAGATAATACTTTAGGTTAGCGCAATCTGGAAATGCGCGAGCTAAAGCGACTAATATTCCTCGAATATGATCAGTTATTGCTACAGAATTTTTGCTACGATTAATTAGTTAGTATGGCGCCATTTGTTCTTTAAACTAATACAGGTAGAAAAGGTAGAAAAGATCTATCTATTGCATGTATCAAAGCAGATACTTTCATGTATTTAAAAATTTGTAGGAATGTTGTCACACACACAAGATTATTATTGACACCTAAACAACTATCTAATCCGCCTTGTTTAGCCTTGCGTAAAACTCCGATATAAAATTGTGAGATTTTTATTGTCAAATTCTATGATTCTGTTTGCTTCCCCAATGCGCCAAATAGTCGCTTTTTTTTCGCGTCCCTTAAGTAACTAGCAATCTTTCGACGAAGAGAACCGTTTAATTGTCTTTTTTTGATGTGGACAATTTAATTATCAAAAACAAATAAATTGTAATCAAATATTGCAGAAAACCGGATGTTCATTTGTTCTTGATCGGTTGTGACTATTAAGCGTAGCAACAGTTTATGCGAAATTGCATCAGCCGCAATCTTTCATTCATAATATACGTTCGCGGTTCTCCCGTTATCGCCAAGATTGTGGAAATTTTTCCATGTATGTTCGCGTTCGGTGTCTTTCCATTTGGTGCGGATATTCGGCTCTTTTATGGTGTGATAAATTATCGCCGGTTAGCCGCCATCTTAGACATGTGCTAAAAGTGTGCGGTAAATGCACATACGTGCGAAAACGTCATATTGACTTCTTCTTTGTGCGCGATAAACGCACACTATATATATTGACTTCTTCCTTGTGCGCGGTAAACATACGTCATATTGACTCTTGGTACACAGTATATCGTTATATATTGACTTCTTGTGGGAACAATGTCGATTTCCGGAACGTAAATCGAGTTAGTTCGTGAATAACTCGACCAAATGTCCTTTCCTTGTCTTCAAGACGAAGATAGAAAATATGGAATCAAGCTAACCGCTAAGAATCGTGGTCGATGGATTGATCATCGATCGTCGACCATCATTGATCATTTAATAAGGATGGTCTATTGGGCCAGTCACAAGAGACTGTAGGTAAAGCAAATTCACCAGGCTCGTCAGCTGCAGGTAACACTACGCATACTGACATGGCACCAGAAATTTTTCTACACTTATTGTGAAGTAACAATTAACAAAACAAAGAGAATCGATAATAAAAAAATGCTATTGAAACAAAAAACAATCGTTATTTGATTGTTTTTAATTGTTACTTCACAATGAGTGCCCAGCATTCGACGCGTGCGGTTGTATAAAATATTATAAAGAAATGGCAGAGTATATTGCACAAGAATACACAGATATGATTATCATGTACGGAGTAGCCGGAGAAAATGCTCGTGTTGCGGCTCGCCTTTACGCGGAACGATTTCCTGAACGTGAGCGACATCCCTCGTTCAACGTAATTTTGCGATGTATCCATCCTGTCAGAGAAACAGGCTCTCTGCTATTGAATAGACGAAACGCTAATGCACCAATGCATTATCGCGCAGACGTAGAAGAAAGAATCTTACAAGTATTTGAAGAGAATCCTGGAACCAGTGTGCGCGGTGCAGCTCGGATGCTCAGTCTCTCGCGAAACACAGTGCATCGTACACTACGTCAGAACGGATTGCACCCGTACCATTGCCAGCGAGTGCAGCAACTTTTAGCGGGAGATCATGAACAGCGCATCTACTTTTGTGAAGGTATTTTTATTATCTTTATTTATTGTTGGTGTTATTTGTAGCAAATATTAACAGTCGGCGAAATACATACAGGGTTTCTCGCGTAATGTCGGCGGAATAATTTTTTCCCCGATCGCGTATTGTGGACGGATGAAGCGACTTTTACGCCGAACGGCGTATTTAACAGTCGCAACTTATTGTTATGGCAAGAAGAAAACCCGCACGCCATTCGTCAGGGCGCGTATCAATATCATCGATAAATGTATGGGCCGGAATAATAGCGGACCAAATCGTAAATAAATTTCTTCATTATTAATAAGTTAAAGAATTTTCTTTCGCAGCTTTAACAAATCACTCTTTTTTTGGTAATTTTTAGATCGGTCCTTATTTTCTCCCGCCACATTTGAATGGAGAAATTTACGCAGATTTTCTTCAGAATGAGCTTCCGATACTCCTTGCGGATATTCCTCTTCGAGTACGAGCGAAACTCATTTTCCAACACGGCGGGGCTCCTGCACATTTCTCGCGTCAAGCACGCGAATTTTTAAACGCGCGTTATCCAGAAAGATGGATGGGACGAGATGGCCCAATTATTTGGCCGGCGCGGTTGCCAGATTTAAACGTGCTCGATTATTTTATATTGGGTTTCGTCAAAAATTTAGTCGAGTACAGGCGTGATGGTACAGAAGCTGAGATACGAGAAGCAATTCTCGCAGCTTTCAATACCATCACTCCGGAAATGGCGTACCGTGCGACGCGCGATATCATTCGAGGGGCCGAATTTTGCCTACGAGAGCGAGGAAGGCACTTTGAACAATTTCCGCATTAAAATATGAGAGTGGATTATACCTATTGGGGATACCACTTAAAAAAAAATTTGCCGTACTATCTACCGCAAGGTGGTGGGGAAATGATAGAGAGCGGCCAGGAGTTTCGGAGAAGCCAGCGCCTCCACGTTGCCGAGAACAACACGTAAGTTGGACCCTACGCGAGTAGAGCCTAATACCGTTGGACCTCTTGCCGGTACGACGTACGCGGCTATTCAGAAAACTTCTTACGACGTGGGACATCTGCATACGACGCTACACGTCTCCCACCGTTGCTGCAACCGCCATCACCGCCTTCAGACTATAGAGCCCGGTCTACACAAACCAACCCACCGATCCGTGTACATCGAGGCACACAATATGGGTTGCATTTCACTGAGTAGAGTACCCATGATTCAGCAAGTCTAGTCCTCTGTAGCAAGTCCTTTCAAAAATTGATTCACGTTTTTTTTTATGTCGTTATTCTTCG